GTGGAAGCCATGGTACGAAAGGCACACCAGTGTCAAAGTGGATGCGTGCTCCGTCTTGTCTATAGCTCACACCTCGTATCTCGTCCCATCTGGCATTGTTCTTGGAGTGCGTCTCCGTCTTGCCAGTTTTCCCATCGATTAGCAAGACATTTTCCATACTGCAACTCGAAGGGAAACAGTACTCCTCCGCTCCTTGCCAGCAATCTAAATCGTCTAGACAGACCACGTGGACTTCTCGGACATTGGCAAAGTTCCGCAAATCCCTGGACTCGCAGCGGACAAACCACTCGTCACATTCGCGCGCAAATTTGAGCCGCTTGATGTCCTGGTAATACGGCTCAAAAAACGTGAACATACTCTGGTCGATGGAGATCATATCAATCTCGAAATTCACCCAAACGTAGCGCGGCTCTAGGCCAAGGCCGATCTCCAACCGCAATCCGCGCTGTGGCGGCATCTCTTTCCCGTTATTCGGTGTAGCTGGCAGTTGGTGGAAGGCCTTCCTGTAGAACCCAAAGCTACCCACAATTTCCGTAAGGTGAATCCGCGCTTCTCGACAGGTTTGGAGAGGGGCTGGCACTGCGGTGGATGACCGCAAACGGAGGACGGAAATGCACGTAGGCGTATCTAGAGCCAAGTTGAATCTAGCTCTCATATCATCGGTGATTGCCGTGCGTTCGTATTCGATATTGACCTCGACCGTTCGAGGCTCGATAGTCAGCTCCCATATCCGCGCTCGGACTTCCCATGGGAGACGGGGAAAAGGATGGAACGCTGTCATGGCTTGTGCTGAGGCCTCGGGTGTAGCTGCCGGAGTCCGTGGTAGGCTTGCCGTCAAAAAGGTGAGCCAAAGGATGAGGATGGTTGGCGACACAGACGGACTCTGCTGCTGAATCGAGAAGGTGAATAGTAGAAAAGGAATTTGCCGTTTGGTAGCGACGACTGAAACGATGAAGGGTTCTGAGATGGTTGGTTCTGTCTTCTGGTTTGGGTTTACCCCGGTGGTAACGGAGTGTGATGGTGATGAGGCCAGCGGGGCAGGATTTAAAGGTGAAGCAGGCAGGCAGATTAAATAGTCGAGGTCGCCAGAGTCGGGAAGGTCTACCTGCCTGGTGTCCTGGTCTAGTAAGTCCCTAGGGTTCCCTAGTATCTTTTTACATAGTTAGAGGTATGTCGTGTAGCCGAGGCGACAACCCCTTCGAAGTCCGATGTGACGTTAACTACCACAGTCTAGGTCTGGCCTACAAGCAAAACGTGAAGGATTTTCTGTCGAGATACGTAGCAAGATATCGGTGAAGGATTGGTCGCCCACCCGACTGTTGCCTTCCATTCTTCTAGCGCGCCGCCGGTCCTAGCCGGAGTTGTAGTTTGCGGGCACTGTCGCAGTGGAGTGAGGGTACCTGCCTTATGACGCCTAGTTGAAACTTGAAAGGCAAGTCTGCAGTCAGTGCAGTGGTCGTCAAGAAACCCGGGTAGACCCTTAATGTACGTATCCCACAACTTTGCGGTGGAGGCGGGATGGTTCATCCCAGGGCTCCGCAACCATTGAAATCTGCCCCTGCAGCAAAACGCCCGGCTCCCAAGCGGGCCTACAGCCTCTGCAACCTTGGCAGGTACGGGGACCAACCCCAGGAAGTATCTTCAAGTATTGTTGCACTTGCAATTTCAAACGGCTCGGCTAACAACTCAACTTTTTCGCAATGCAGGGTGTTCTCGATGGCGGCCTTGGTGGTGGCTGGTGGTGAAATGGCTGATTAGAAGGACCCTCCAAATGAAGAGTGTTCTCGATGGCGGCCTGGGTGATGGCAGGGAGATAGTCAAAGGGGTATCACGGGGCAAGGCCAAGGTTAGGGGGTAGATTGGATATGCGTAGTTGTACGAGGACGGAAAGAGAGAGGTGTGCGCCGGTCTGGCGATATGGGGCAAGGCACGAAGGCCATGCCCAGAGCTGGGACCAGCGCACGTGCCCATGCACGTGATGTGCTAGTCACAGGTAATCCTGTGACAAGGCGCTAGGCTGTGGTGGTGGTGAAGGTTGAGAGAGTAAGGCTGGGAGATGAGACTGGGTGGGTGCCTTGGGAGGGTGGGTGGGACTGCGAGACACAGCCACAGGGTTGAAAGAGCGGCTTGGGAGAGCAAACGAGAAGTGAGCCTAGCCAGGACTTGAGACCAAAAGGAGGGAGAGAACCTGAAGGTGGGGCCACAGCCGTGTGGCGCCTCGTGCTCTCAAGAGGGAGGTAGAGCGCAGAACTTCGCACACCGCCACCCTTGCTCACCTTCATGGGTCATGCCTTTTGCCTCCCTAATTTTATTATCAGTATATAAATAATAATACTTTCCAATTTCGTCTTATTTCTCCGTTCAGTCCGTCCGATCTAGGCTCTCCCAAAAGCCCATATCTTCTCCCCAAAAGGCCTTCCTGACCTCCCAGTATCACGGGTGGACTCGACGTTGGGTATGGATATGGATATGTGTAGTTGTACGAGGAGAGGAGGAAGGAAGTGGTGTGCCAGCCAAGCCTTATATAGAGGGCATGGCTGGGCACGCACAACGTACGTGGCACGTGGTCACGTGCGTACGCCAGTCAAACATGGTCTGACTGTGATCACATGCTGCACCCATCACAGGCTAATTTCAAGGGCACAGTATGGAGGAGTCGAAGGCAAAGCTAAGATTCCATCTATGACAGAAGATTTCAGATGGGGAGAAGAAAAAAGGAAGAGAACTAGGTACAAGCGTTCAAACCCAAATAAATACCCTGGTCGCACCAGCGACAGCGGGACCCACATGTGGGTCGCTGGCGGACCACTACATCACTAGGCTATGTTCCGAAAGGATACAAGTAACCGAAGCTGGCAATTCGGTCGCTCAAGTGGTCTTATATAGTTGTGATAGCAGTCGAGAGGCACAACTGCAAGGCTGCCATCACACATGTCAATGGGAGCCTTGATGGCAGGCATGTGACAGCCCAGATGGTACCAGCCGTCACAGCTGTCACTAGTTGTCGCCTGTGGTCTGGGTATAAAACCCAGCTCTGGCATCGAGCCTTCCCTTTTGAGATTTCTTCCCTCTTCAGCTTCTTATTCTTAGTCCAAGTTAATCAAATCGTACACAACGTGCCCTCTGGTTACGTCGTGACACTCCCAAGTAGGAAGCTAAAACCCTAGCAGAAGCCAAAGCCCAAGCAAAGCTAAGCGTAAAGCCAACCTTCTCAAAAAGTAGCAAGCGGAATAGGAATCCAAGCTTCGAGCAGAAGCCAAGCGCAAAGCCGATTTCCTCAAACGGCAGCAAGCGGAATAGGTATCCAAGCGCTGGATACAGAAGGCCAAGTAATTTAAGACACCAGAAGCAAAAAAATGCACAACTCTTTAAAGATGTTGAAAACAATACTTTTTAATCTCGTCAGCTTTTTTCTTTTTTCCTTCTTATCCCCTTTGAGTAAGAACCCAATTAAGAAGAAGGCTTCAAAATTCCCAAAGGCTGTATTTCAAACCCATTCTTCATTTTCACCATTCTGAACCTAGTTTCTTTCTCTCAAGATGATTTATTCAGAAACTCCAAAAGTCAGGCCCAAAGGCTTTTTGGGAGCTCGAAATAGCCTTCTGGGGGATAAATATGAGCTTTTGGGAGTTTAGGCAGGCCTGTTGGGGAGAGGATATGGGCTTTTGGGAAGGCAATGATCGGATAAAAGCAAGGAAATCAGAGTACTAGTACTAAGTTATAGAAAACCGTATTCTAGGCCACAGTACGAAGAGGATTAAGGTAAGTAGTAGGGTGCGGAAGGTTCTGCCCCGAGCGCAGTGGCGGCATCGTGTGGCGGGTGATCTTAAGTCCCATTCACGCTATTTGCTCTACCACTTCATCTCCAGGCCACCACCTGCCACAAGGCACGGGGTCACGGTGCCACCAGGCTGCCCCACCCAACCGTCACCGTTCTCCTCGCCCATGCTCCTTCCCTCACTCCTCCTTCACTAGGTGCTGCCTCATGCCTCCTCCAACCACCACTCACAACCTTCTCGCTCACCAAAGGCAGCCACAACCAGCAAACATCTCTCACTTGTGGCGTCACCACACCTTGCCGCCTTTCGAACCTTCCTCTCAACCCAAAGATGGATAAACTCCCACAAGAGGTAGTCGACGCCATCGCGGCTCACCTGTTCCCCCCGCTGGTGAACCGTGAACCCCACAGGCACTGGTTCTTCTCCAACGACGACGACAACCAGACAGGCCACAATGTGCTCAGCGCAGCACCCTACGCCACCATCTCGGCGCCGTGGCAGCGCGCGGTTGAGGCCCTGACCTTTCACTCGCTGACGCTCTTCAACCACCAAGACGTCTCCGACGCTGAGCAGCATCTGAGGCGCAACGACCATCGCAGGAACTGCGTGTTCCATCTCAGAGTCGACATCAACATCGACCGGTCGACAATCGTGGAGCGCGAGGCCCTGTGGGTGAGCTACACGGCGGAAACTATCCGCGGGAAGCTGTATACCTGGAGAGACCAGCAGATTGTTCATGAGCTTCGCAGGATGGTTGAGTTCATCAACCTCTTTTGGGTAAGTTCCGGTCCATCATAGAGCCTGCGCTTTTGAGACCAGGCTCGGGGTGGCTAACACACATCAGCCACCTACCACCGGCACCGACTCTATGTCGTCAGTCCCAGCCCGTCCTCTGAGCTTACTCATCTACTTCGTCGATATCCAAACCAGCTGGGATAGAAACCTGGAACACTGTCCCACGGAAGCACCATCCAACTTGAGGGAGCTGCCCGTGTGCCCGGCAGTGACGGCTCTCGAAATTTGGTACCCCCAAAATGCAAACACCGTAGGGCTGTGGAGCCCATGTGTTTGTAGTCCGCCATGCTCAACCTCAACGCGCGTTCGGCCTACGTGGCTCCTGGAGTTTGGAGCCAAGTTCCCTTCTGTCCACAAGAAAGGCGGGTTGTCGGACACTCAGACCTGAAGAAGGTTCACAGGACAGGACGAGAACAGACATGAGGGGGGATATGGTGAGGACATTCGTGGTGATGGAACGAGAAAGACGCAACTGAAGAAAAATGGGCGTTTTCAGAGACAGTGAGAAAGTGGTGACGGTATGAAGATCAGAAGGTGTAAGGGGGCGCATAGCGATATTTGAAGGAATTCTTGCGAGGAGAATTACAATGGTGACTCAGGAAGCTTGCTATTGATTCACATCAGGTTGCATAAAGCCACAGTTATCCGCAAATCACATGTTTCCTGACGCATATGCCATGCTTGATCTGTCACTCTCTGAGTGCATGTGTTATGTCCACACTAGCAGATACATGATTGCTGTGCAGAAGCATGCTGGTACCTGCAGATTGGAGCGGGCATTCACTCGACCATATCTGCCCCCACCCGCGGGAACAAGGTTTCGTGATATGGCACGGCTGAGGGTCGGTTCCCATTGCCCGCCAAACCTAGAAAGCCTTTGCCGGTACATACCGGTCCAGCTGTTCGAAACTTCAACTAAGCAATATCTTTCCCAGGTTCTACCACCGACTTCGGTTTCCCTCATCGTTCCAGCACTTGCAAGCAGTCCCCTACGTCATGTTCACCATGTCTTATCCCCGCCGTCTCCGTTCTCGTCAGGAAAGTTGCTAACAGATGGACAATTGACCCAGGAAACCATCCAATAATCTCGTCGGCAACCCCTTCCGAAGCCTGATACGAGGCTTTTATTCGGACACCAGAAGCTCGGGCCAGAAGCCCGTCTAACACGAGCCCGTCCGACCGCTTCAAAGAGCTACGAACCGCACGGCGGATGACTTGCTCCTGGCGAGTGTCGATGATGGCCAGAAGACGAAGCCACGAGCCACGGAAACGAGAAGGGGCGCACTGAGAAGGGAAAGCAATCATTGAATACACAGCTGCAAAAATCGACCGCATTCCTGACTCCGAGTCGGACGCCGTCACGCCAACGCAAGAAGGAGCTTAAGGGGGGACGACAATGGTGTTGAGATGTCCATAGACAAAGCTGGCTTCGTTGCCAAACCGAGGCTAGCACCAAACGTTGGAATCGGAAACATGGATGACGCCAAAGGTCGAGGGCATCATCTTTAAATGAAAGAGACACAAGAGACAGTTTTTGCCTAGAAGAATACCGACGACTACGTAGCGACCGACATGGAGGCGATGTTATCGAACAACAGGGCACTTGCGCCACATGAAGAAGAGAAGACCTGGAGACAATTGCGACAGACAAAGGAGAATCGAGGCGATGAGACAAAAGAGGACGAGGTCAAGGAGAGACAAGAGTGGAAGAAGGAGAAATCCGAACCCCAGGCGGTACCTCTAAAGGACTGTGTCTGGGGCAGTGCTGGCCGGAGCTCAAGGAATTACAAGAACGATGACCGATTCTTGACTTGCTGTGTCGCCGATGCTTGTCGACAGGACTTTCGACACCAGAGAGTCTTGAAAAGCGCCAAGGGGATGTGCGGAGCTTTGTCCTTCTTCATGAAGTTGACCGCGACTCTTGGTGCTGAACCTGGGACTCTCCTGCAGCCGGAACGCAAATGATCATGCAGGACTTTGCAGTGAAAAGGTGCGACTGGGGGTATGGGGCAAGGGGCTCAAGTACGGCATCGAGCGCCCCTGAATATGGCCATATGGAAATCACCGCTCAGACTCGCGGCAACCGGCGTCCGCACTTGCAGTTCTTATGCATCAACACTTTCCCGAAAGTCAAGAATGCTCTCTCCATGCCGCATCTTGCCATTCTTCGAGGGGTGGTTCCATCGGTGACTCCTGACAATGACTTTTGGAGGAAGGAAGTCAACTTGCTCACAGGGGCATCAGCTCGGGCCGGGCGAGCTTGTGAGATGTTGGCTGAAAGTCGGACACACAAAAGGCTATGGGGCTCTCACCTGAAGGGTACTGGGAGATAAGCGGAAACGGATTTCGCATATATGAAGGGAATGAAAACGTTGTACAGTTATTGGCGTACGAAGATCCAGCCAGGTACGGAGCAACTCGACTGTTCTTACCACGACATGATTGTTTGTTCACAAAGTGTCCTGGAATGGAGAATGCGAGTTGGGTTGGTCTTGCAAACTTGCGATGAGTTGACAATAAAAGCAATAGTTGCGGTTTCCTGTTGGGATTGGGGTGATAAACAAGGGCCACTGTCGCTGCTTCTCATTTATTCTCCGCCCAAGGAAGAGTTACAACTGATAAGCTACTTCGGAAGAAACGAATCACTGTGGCCCAGATCGCGATATGCACCTGATAATGTGATTGTGGGGGGAAAGTGCTGAGAAGTCATTTCTTCCTCCTTGCCCTCCAAGAGAAAAGTCAGCGTTGCTTCCCTCGCCGACTCCATCCTCCAGAGGCCGTTGAGTCCCAGGCTTGAGTCAATCCCCCAAATATGGATCTTCTTCCTTGCACCGCTTTCTTCCACTTTGCACTTCTGTTCTCCTACCAACCTCTCCACCAGCGTCTCTACCAACGGCCTCGATATCACCTCTCAAACATCCGACAGACACGTCTTACAGACCGACATCACCTGTTACGACATTGACATCCGCGTTTATTTCCAGCTTCACCTCCTACCCTCCATCCTCGGCCGAGATGGAAAAGTCATCGGGCATCCCTTCGATATATGCATCGGATGTTGGTACTCCAGGTAGCTAGAGGTAGCCTTCCGGCCTTCTCAACTCGGCCCACCGATGAGCTAACGCGAACGTACTTGCATAGCCTCCCACTGAAAGAAGAGGCAGGCCGTTGTCATTGCACGTGATTGTACAGAGTGTAAAATCAGCGTACACTACACCGCCGACCCCTTTGTATATACCACGGTGTAAACGAGTAACCGAGGTGGAAATCACCTTGGATTCAATGTTTTGCTGGGAGCGAGGTTCAATGCTCACCGACGACCCTGTCCGTGAGTGCACATCCACCAAGTGGCCCCTGGATTGAGATCCACCCAGGGCTATGACAAGACCCGTTTCGGGTATATTTTGGACACCATCAGGATGGTTACCGAGCATGGTCATGTACTTCCCATCGGCAACAAGCTGCGGGTTCGAGTTCTCTCCGACGATGATTGGCAACACCATCGTCAACACCTCCCCGACTGGTATGTGCCTTACCCTGTTTAGCTACAGCAGAAGTTGAGGTAGACGGATATGTACTAACAAGAGGTTTTAGCATTCATGGAGGTAGGAAACTTGCAGGTTCTCAACCTGCACTACGTTCCAAACGGGCTGAGAGCGTTCCGCACAACCCCCCGGTCGCTCGACCTGGAAGCCCGTATCCACGGCTACCTGTTGGAGGGGGTAGCGGAAGGCTCTGGAGATGGCTTGTGCGCGCGCCTGCGGGCTGTTTCCAGAAACCTCCAAGCCCTCACCATTTCCCGGGTCTATTCTCTCGACCGGTATTGTTTTAACCTGGAGAATGACGACCAGCATAGCTGGCCCTACTTGGAGAAGTTGTGGATTGACTCCGCCCTCTTCTCACTATCTGGGAAGTAGTACTTTCAGCAGGGCAACCTTGCCAATCGACCTCTCGATGTGAATAACATCATCAACCCGGCCACACCGGCCTTTAACGACTTGGTGACTTGCCTCTCGCGAGGCATGTTAAGGATGACGAAATTGGCAAGATTGGAACTCGGCTTCCTGCGGACCCGGCCAAATTGGCGTTTTATCGGCCGCGGGAGCATGGCTCTAGAGCTAACACCACTATAGAATATATCGAAAAAGAGACAAAACATGTAATCAGGAAGACGACTCCGGTTATCAGACACACATTAGGCCATTCAGTTGGAAACTGCTCGGATCTTGAGGTAACCTTTGTGATCAGATCCCGGGCCTCTCCGGCCCCCTGGCATGGGGAAGAACTAGCAAAGAATCTGACTGAATTGCGAAGAGCCTGGAACCGCAGTTTGAGGAAGATGGAGGAATGATTATAACACGGTTGAGCAGAGGGTGAAGGGAAGCAGGAGCAGGAGCAGGAGGACATCGTGGAGGAAGAGAGAGATGGAGAAGGGGGATGAAGCCTTTGTCCGATGAAATGGTAGAGCAAAGAGTGAAGCAGGCGATAGAGAAGTTTGGGGTAGAAGCCCACTCAATGGGTACCCATGGGTGATGAAGCGAAAAGTTGCAACACATATTGGAAATTTCCATGTCCTTCGTCGCCAAGGAAACACCATCAACAGCAAGCCGAACACTGCCTTAACAGAGAATGCGTAGAGAATACAAGAATCGAAGTGAATAACAGGCCGCAACACAATCAAAAGCAACCTACACTCTTATAATACAGCGACACTACATCTCCATCTCACAATCTGACCCTGTCCCTGCGTCACCTCGCCCTCGAACATTCCTACTGCTTTCCGACCTTGACGTCCTCCGTTGATCAGTATCCGAGTCCATGATGACTGTGTCCCACCATCTCGCTCGGTTTGGGCCATGTCCTCCGAGGCCTGTTGAACTACCTGTTTTCAGACGTCATTAGTACCGTGCCTATAAAGCGGTAGACATTGGAAAGAAGAATCTAAGAGAGGCGTCGAACTGAAACTTACCCTCACTTGGCCCTGGACTCGCTCGCCCGGCACTTGATGCTGCACTGGCGTTTGCTGGACTCCATGCTGATGTTGTTGATGTTGTTGATGTTGTTGATGTTGTTGTTGTTGTTGTTGTTGTTGTTGTGTCTTCCGTTTGGCCTTGTGGCTGTATTGGCTGACCATGTGCAGCGCCCATTGCTGCTACTTGCGCGGCGATGTAACTTTGTGCCTGTTGACTTTGTTGTTGTTGTGTTTGGTGTTGTTGTTGTTGTTGTTGGTGTTGGTGTTGGGGGTATGCTTGTCCTCTTGTTGTTCTTGCAGTTGCTGTCGTTGAACTTCGTCTTGAACTTACCTCAGTCATTGATGTCTCTCCTTGCCCAGCTTGCCCAGCTTGTCCTCCTCCTCCCACCGCCTGTCCACCTCCTTGCGTCTGTTGAGTATGGCTCTGACAAGTAGTAACCATCAAATAATTCAACCTCCTCCCGACATCCCCCCTCCCTCTGTCCAAGCGGATCTGCACCGTTCCCGCCGCTTGCCCTCCTTGTGTCTGTATCTGCGTTTGCGTCCCCTCCTCATTCCCATTCCCATTCCTATTCCCATTCAGTATTATACCCCGCTGAGGCACCATCTGAGCCCTAACACCCTCCACAAACCCCCGCACATCCTCCGCCCTAACCCACTCCATGTCCTGAACCAATTGCTTCACAGTACTGGAAATACTAAAAAGCTGCAGCTCAACTTCATTCATCTTTGCCACCTCCTTTCTCAGTCTTCGATTCGTCTTCATGCATTCCGCTAGGTCGTTGCATTTGTCTAGCAGAGAATAGCGCAGTTCGTGGTCGGAGCTGAATAACACGGCGGCGTGCGCAAGACGGCGGAAGATGCGCTGGCGCGCTTTGAGCGAGTCGAGTTTTGCCGATAAAGAGGTTATGGCGGAGGTGGTGTGGGCGTAAGGGGGGAAGGTGGAGAGGAGGGTTGAGGCTGCTTGGGCTGTTGCTGTGCGGTCGGAGGATTGTTGTGACTGTTGTTGTTGGGCTTGGTTGATGGGGTGATTTGCGTTGGAGGGGCCGGCGGTGGCTGTGTTGGACTGGTTCTGGTTTGTGGTCATGTTCGGAGGCGGAAAGGAGGGTGAGGGTAGGCCGCCCGAAGGAGTACCGGGGCTGGAGTTGGACGCGTTGGGATCGGGGTAGCCCGGGTGCGGGTAGTTTGGGTGGTTGGGGTCGCCGTGGCCGTGGCCTTGTGGGTGGCGGGACATTGTTGTGGTTTCGAGGTCGATGATGTGGTTTCGAGGTCGATGATGTGGTTTCGAGGTCGATGATGTGGTTTCGAGGTCGATGATGTGGTTGTGGTTGTTGTTTGGTGGAGTTGTGAATCGAGTGATGTGGTTGGAAGACTGAAGGACGAAATGTTAGTTTCAGGTCATGAGGGTGATATGGAAGCAGATGGGAATTTGCCTGATTTCTTGTGTTCTATGCAGTTGAAGGTAATGACAACTCAGAACTAGAATGTGTTTCTGAGAAACTTCGATGCAGTTTGAGTACCTTGACAAGTGCGCCATCAATGAAGACCCGTAAGTAGGCCGGGATAAAAGGATATTAAGAACCGGATCTTCCCTTCCCTTTCTCAAGCCTTGGAGAATTTACCCCTAGTTGCATCAAGTCCAGGTCCACAAAAAGCAGGGAAAGGAAAAAAACACGGTTACAACAAGCAACATTGATCGCAATCCTGGATCACGGGAGAGAGAGCCTACCTCTACCCGTCCAGCATTAGTCATTCAACATGGCCCTTCCCATCCATGGAGAACATGCAGAATGCAGATTAAAGATGCAACTTGGGGGCCGGCTCACAGACATCTCGGGTCCGGTTCATCATCCATGTCGATGCGGTCCAGTCCCAGTCCCCATCCATGTTGCTTTGCCTCAAGCCCACCGAGCCCGCAAGCCCGCAAGCCGGGAAGGATTAGTTCATCTCGGGGTTATCGAAATGGGGCCGGGACGTGGAGATGGACCCCAGTCAATCTTGCGTAAGGCACGATTGAGGAGGCATCCCAAACGCCGATATTCTCCTTTCCTTTTTTTGCCTTCTTTGCCTTGTCCCCCTGGGCCCTGGTCCATCTGGTTGTAGGGTTTCAGCCCGACATCTTAGTTCTTAACAAGCCCTGTTAAGCCCTGTCAAAGACCTGCCAAAAGCTCGGATATGCCCCATTTAACGGCTCGAGAACGGGTCAACCGGTTAACGTCACATCACATGGAACTTCCGTTGATGGGTGGATGGTCGATGTGCATGGAGACGAACCGGTCGACATTTGTAGCGCTCATAACAGTGGAGACATGAAAAGCAGCGGGCCGGTCGGAAAGGCGCCAAATTCGTAACCAACGCCGTTCTGCGGTGCGGGTCCTTTTTTTGTCTTCCAGTGTGGTGTCGAGCCGTTTCGTTCGTTCTTCAGCAAAACAGAGAAGTGGAAAGAAAAGGGAAAGAAAAGGAGGAGTCCCCCGTCACCCGTATTAGCCCGTGTTAGCTCCGTGTACGGTGTTCCACTCGTTGGATTCGTCTCCAAACTGTCGGGTCCGTTTGGATGTTCTGATTCGATGCAAGGGCCGCCGGGATGAAACCCCCGGTGACATGGAATGGAGAACCGAACTAGTGTGGTGTTAGAAGATACCTGCACACTTGCGCAAGTGAGATGAACGAACGGTACGGTGGCTGCGGATGATAGTCTGTCTGGTGTGCAGCAGTGTGGATATGTGAATGGCGGATGCTACGCCAGGGAAGGAAGCCAACTGCATGACTGCGAGGCTCGACAGCTGGCTTTTTAATTTCCCTGGCTTTTTTGGCATCTGAAAGTTCGTTCTGGGCGGTCCATCCAGTGAACGTCAGTGCTCCCGGGCATATGCGTTTCTCGGCCTGGCTCGCCTATTTCGCCTATCCACGTTTACCGTTAGAAACTGCACAATGGCCAGAGTACGGTGACAGTGAAAGTGACTGTAGGGGTTTATCACCTTCTTGATCCGCTAACCGGTCAGACCCCATATGAGCCCACTACGCCGCCGGCTCCTCGTCTCCAGAATTCAGCAATCCTCCATCCACCTCCACTTTTGTCTCCTTGAATCTGACAGTTCACACTTCCGACTGGAGCGATGGGGCTGCTGGTATTTCTCGGTATTCTCCATTTCCTTGTCAATGTCGAGTCTGTGCATTTCACTGTTCGTGTTGAAACCGGGAAGGAACGCTCAATCCACATCCACAACCACCGTCGATAGAACCGCCGGCTTTCCATACTTCCTGACAGGTGGAACAGGCCAGCCCTCCTGAAGTTACACAAAACCCCAGACTGGAGTCCAGTCGTCAGGGCTTGCATGCATTGCATGGGGGCGGCCGGGCGCTCCACGGTCCACGGCCGGTGGCCCCCCTTTACCCTAATCGCGCGCCTCTCGCGGGTCCGCGGAAGCGGACGGAATGGCCCGACCCAAGCACCCCTTGAACGAATTGATGGGCAGCTAGTAAGGGTCGGAGGTGCACGGAGATACGCCGGCCAACATCTCAACTCACCCACTCCGTTCACGGTTGACGGTTGACGTTCATCGCCCGTGCATATCGTGTTGTGCGTTATTGCCCGTACCGCATTGCCTCGGCAGTAGTTAGTGCCATGGTTAGTACCAAATAGGTAGAGTTTGCTAGTATATCTCCAACGGCGGAACAGGGGAATGGCGGAACAACGGTGGATGTGTGGATGGATGGTATCCGCACCACCGCTCACTGCATCGACCGGTTGGGGCATTTTAGGGAGGTCGTGAGATGGACAGGACACGGGAATGAGTAGCGCTGGGGCGGCTGGGCGGCTGGGCCACTGGGGCTTCTGGAGGCTGGAGCTGTTGGTTCCTGGCGGATAGCGCAGGTGAGACACACCGGACACCGGACATTGGGAAATTGGGCAAAATCAACAGTTGACTGGATGATTTGACATTCGTCAAGAGTCGAAGGAGCGAAACATGTGGGTCCAACCGATGTAACCCTTGTCGTGTCGTGGAGTACGAGAGAGCTGGGAGCAGTTGGGGATGAGGAAGGGAAGAAAAAGAACAGATCGTGCTTTTTGGAGGTGTCAAGCTCTGGCTCTGGCCAAGGAATGAGTGTGAAGATCAAATGTGAGAAGACGGAAAAAAGCATGTGTCTGGTCTGGTTCGAGAGTGGAAGCGCGTGATATCTCGTACATGCGCCAATATTTGTATCATATGCCGAGTGTGGCTCATCTTGTTGGTTCTTTTGGTCCAGTCTTGGATCAATATCAGAAGCAGTTGATGAAAGGGGGCTTGGCAGTGAAGGTGGTGTGTCTGTAGAGGTATTTGTCAAGTCTCGTCAAGTGCGTTGTCTATCACCTCATCATGGATATAGATCGAAAGAAGAACGAGAAGGAGCAGGGGAAAGTTCTAGATTACACGCTGGCTGGCTGTCGTCGTCAAAGGACACGCGCAAGGTAAATGCTCACCCAACAGACAGACCAACCACCAACGGCTAATCTCCAGTTCGTCCTAGCCTTCATGATCCCGGTTCACTGACCACTGTTGGCAGCATCCGTCCAATATGCAGGCGGCCTGCATTACTTGGCAACGGCAGCGGCGGCAACCGGGGCAGTGAGGGCCTTCTCGACAGCCTTGTCCTTGCCACCCCAGTAGTGCCAGTCGAGGTAGCGGTAACCCTGGGTGAGCTGGGCGCCGGCGTTGACGAAGTGGCAGGCGAACAGGAGGTAGTTGCGGGGGGTGACGGCGAGGGAGTAGCGCATGAAGGTGAAGGCATAGATGGTGAGGGCACCGGTCATTTGGCCAGAGATGCTGTTGGGCAGTGGTTAGTTAGTGTCCATGGCCGATGAGCTTGTTAGAAGATGATTGCTTACAGCTCAGGGCTCTTCTGGGTATCGAGAACGGCGGCAATGGGGATGCCGAAGTTGGAGGCAGGACCCCAGAAGTCTAGGAAAGAAACATCAGTCAGTCAGTGGTTGAATGAATGGTGACACAAAGTTTATGGGTCCTGCATATGATCCCGAATGCAAGATAGCAGTGGCATAGCACCGCGGTTGGTAGAGCAGTTGGAGGAGATGTGATGTGACGGCCCCCATATGTCTGTACGTCATGGCTGCGGACCATGGATCGCCAGTGGGATTTGTTTATTTTCCGAGACCAACTGATATGAAAGCAAATGAGACCGGTGAAGAGATATGAAGTCTGATCCCATTCAAGGCTTCATGATATTCGAGTAATATGGTGAGGATGTAGGGAATGAGTGGGTGAAATGCAGGTGAGTGAGCGGTGCGGTCTGGTGGTGGTGGTGGACAGAAAAAGAGTTCGTCCGATGATCGGGCATCGGGCCAATTTTTGCCGGGGAAACCATGGGCAACGGGACTCGCCCAACTTGCGGGTAAACACAGGGCATGCGACCAAAGGAGAGTCAACAACGTACGGGTCGAGCAGAAGTAGTTGGCCACAGGATTGCTCCTGATCTTGGCGTTGAGGGCCTTGACGACGGCAGCCATTTTGACGGTATTGGGAAGGTGAGGGTGACGGGTGGTGGTCGGTTGGTCGGTGAACTGCGCTGACGGTGTCGGGGCCTGAATTCGGAGCTGTGCTTTGGCTGCTGTCCTTGTTCTGCGGGCACCAAGAGTTGGAGATTCGAGATGTCAATTGTGGGGTCCCAGCTTGGTTTTGTTGGGGGATTTTCCGTGCGAGCTTGCCAGCCGCCATAGACTGTCAGCCATCATCCTTGACGGGTCTTTTGGCGGCCCGGTCAGCCGCGTGATGGGGCTGTTTCGCTCAAGCAATGTGTTTGCTCGCCCAGTGAAACAAACATCCACGAAAGCTGAGAGGAATGGAACAAGTGTCAATTGTTCAATGGAAACAATCCTCCAACTCGGCGGATTTCCATTGTTGAGCCGCAACGCCGCGTGGTCAGACGGGCACAGCGACTGCAATGCACGACCATCTGCAAGCATTCAAGGGTTGTACAGCATCACAGACCCTAACCCTTAGTCCCGGACTCACATGGGGACGTTCCGACATTGACAACGTTCTCAACCCTCGCCACTGCCCCTGAAGGTGTCAGCCCCAACGTGCCTGAAACAACTGAAAGCGACGCAGAGCTTAGCTCAGCTGAAAGCTCAAAAGTTTGTCAAATTTTCACCATGAGCACCATTGGATTTCAGAAATCGACCGGTTACAGCAACATTGTTTATCAAACTGTCCGTTGTCCTAACAACGCTTCAGGGGCTTCAGGCACATCTCAGGGGTCCAAATACAACAGTTACAGTGGACCACAAGCACCAAAAACAGTGGAACCTTACGTCATCCAGCACGTCCCGGGTGTGACCGATTCACACGACAACGACCATCTGTGTCACGACGTCAACAACACCCCTTCAAACTGTCAGTTCACCATCAGCACTCAACTATAGATTCCCACGTCCATCCAGTATACCATTTCAGGAGAGGCCACGAGCCCGACCTGATCCTTCACAAGACGCCCTCATACAGAAGCCACAACCAATCAACGACGAACATGACCACATCAACCACCAGCCTACCCGACCCAACGGCATCGACGTCAGTTTCAACCTCATCGTCAATGACAAAACCACCATCAACAATCCCAACCCGCCTCCTCCTCCTCTCCGACACGCACATCCGCTCCCGTTCCAAAACCCCCCTTCCCTTCCCGGTCCCTTCCATCCCTGGCGGCGCAGACATAGTAATCCACGCAGGCGACATAACCAACTCCTCGGCCCTTTCCGAATTCAGTCTCTGCCTCTCCTACCTGCGCCAACTCCCCGCCCAACTGAAACTAATAATAGCCGGCAACCACGATTTTACTTTGGACTTGTCTGTTTACAGCCAATACGTCGCCACCCGATCAAACTCTGCGCTGGGGAATTTGACCAGGAGAAAGGGATTGGGAGAAGTAGGTGAAGCGAAACGATTGCTTGAGGAAGCTAGAAAAGACGGCATCTTTTATCTTGAGGAGGGAACCCACACCTTTGACCTCGCCAACGGGGCACGATTAGTGGTATATGCAAGTCCGGCTACACCAGCGTTTGGAAGTCAGGGGTTTCAGTACACTGCTGAGGAAGGACACGTTTTTGAGATTCCGGAGGAGGCGGATCTGGTGGTTAGTCATGGACCACCGAGGGGGGTGTTGGATGTTAGTCGGTTGACGAGACAGTCGTGCGGGAGTGTCGAGTTGTGGGAGCGGGTTAGGGAGGTGACGCCGAAATTGCATGTTTTTGGACATATTCATGAGGCGTGGGGGGCTGCTGTTGTTAGGTGGCCCCTGTCAGACGAAGGGCAAGGTCTTAATGGGAAGGACGGGAAGGAAAAGAAGGGGAAGGAAGAAGCGGAGATGACCGTGTTGGTGGATCGGAGGGATGTGGAAGAGGGGTGGAAGGATTCGAAAGAGGAGAGGAAGCGGAAGCAGGATAAGGTGGAAAAGATTGTTCGGGATGGGTATTATCCTTTGGAGTACCCGGAAAAGGAGGGGGGTGCTGAGCAGACACTGTTTGTGAATGCGGCGGTTCCGTATGCTCCGGGGTTGGTGCCTTGGTTAGTGGAAGTTGAGCTTCCGAGGAGTGATGGAGATACGAATAGGGGGAGTACAATGGCGGAAGAAGGGAATGGGGACTCGAATGGACGGTCTCGAGAGTATTCGGCCACAAACTTGCAACAGCTGGATGTCAGTTACGGTCAGTGACGAACATTACCAGCGAAACGATGGGCTTCAATTCATACACTAGAGATTAATGTCATTCGTCATACATCAGTTTCCCTTACAGCTTTACTGCCTATCCCAACTGCTTCCTCTTCACCGGCCTCAGCTCCAGCGTCATCTGCCACTCTTCATCACCACCCTCGTTTACTCCATCAACCGTCTTCTTTCTCCGCCTCTTCAGAAGAACCAAAACAACCGGTCTCAAATATAACTATCTTCCACTCCATCCCACCAGGGTAACAAATGTTCCGTTTAAACGCCAATTCGTCAACAGATTTACGTGGCTTCCTTCAGGTCCTCCCCAGCTCCGAGTGATAATCGTCTTCTCCCTCAACCACTTTCCCCTCACTCTCAACCTATGATTATCTCGTCCGCCTTCCAATTCATCTACGACTCCCTCACAGCAAGCGCTTCTTCGAACCCCGGTCTTCCTCCTCATCCACCCCCTCATCCATCTCCCTTGCTCTCTTCTCCCCCTTCTTCTGCTCATACTCCAACAACCGGCTCTTCAATCTCGGAACATATGTTACGATCCAATCATGGAGACTAGACTAGCCGACCAATCAGATCGGACCCGAAGTCCCGGGGACCCGAGACGAAGGCTCGGGTCCACGGGTCCAGTATATCGGGTCCCTGAAGACCGGTATAAAAGAAGGCCTTCCCCGGCCTCTTGTTACCGGTTCTTCAGCAAGCAATAGCTATCACAATCTACCAGTACCTTTCGGCTACTACTCCGTTACTCTATTGTTCTATCCCAGCGATAATACTCCTGTGCTTGTAACGGTTCGTCACAACATACTTCCTCTCTAACTCGCCTAAAAGCTGCTCATCATCCATGCTCCAATCGTCATGATAAGCCTTCTTGCCCCCCTTTTACAGATCCTTATCCCGACTCAAAGTTCCACACACGGACTTCTCCCAGTCCATTCCGCACCAAACAACCTCCTGTCTGAACTCACACTCATCAGACCAAGGATCTTTGATGAGCTCTGGGTTGAGGTCCGCGGTGAGGAACGTGATCAGCCAGCACGGAATCCTGGGTTCGTCGACGACCCATGTTCCAATATCCGAGATCTCTTTGCCTTCGCCATTCTTCCTGGCCTTCCTCTCCTCCTCCATCCAAACTTCCCCAACATTCTGCCACAGGAACTTGGCCCATTTCAATACCACGGCTTGTGCACGACCAGACCCGGCCAACGAAATGCGGTAAACAGAACGCTCTGGATACTGGCACCCAAAGTCGATAAGCGGCGCCACTCCCCGTGCCGTAAACCTGCTTCCCACCGTCAGACCCTTATGGTCAGGGGTTCGTGCGCTCGAATCCCTCACCGAGCAAGGAGAACCTTCTTTGCGCAAGCATCTCCTTGTTGTTGAACCGGATAAAGGGCTTTGCGCCGGACTCTGGCCCTCGGCGGCCCAGATAGATCTCGATCACGTCCAGCTTTGGCATCGCCAGCATTGCCTCTGTCCATAGCAGGCGTTCGACGGCCAGTTACCATGTCTTCGAGACCGTGGCGAAGTGGGACAGCTTGGTGCGAGTCTGGTTATATTCGCTCGTGTCGGCAACATGCGGAAGGTCATCGGCAAAGACGTAGCTCGTGATCCGGTCGAGGCTGGGTTGTGGTAGGTCCTCCAGTCGCGGAGCTAGGCCTTTCGGCCAAGATGCGTGAGGTTGAATGTACCAGTAGGATGTCGCGAAAACAGTTGCGTGATGTTTTGGGAGAAACGTGTCAATGTGGTATGAAACTTACCGTGCAAACATCCACTGGCCAACCGGTTCTCAGAGGGCTTGATTCCTGATCGTTGTCACACGGACATTTGCCCACAGTTCTGGGTTAGATGTTCCCGAGGCTTAACAGAACCTCAACACTTTGCATTAGCCTTGACTGCCGATGGCGCTGAGCATCATCCTGAGGTTCCCCTTTCATCACGGGACGAGAGGGCACCGTTAGGGGCATGGTGGGATATGCACTATTATACAATGTGCATGAAAGACAGGTCAGCCCGTGCATGCGTACGTGCAGCTCCAGTGACTGCTGGGCCATAATGACGACCGGACAGAGGCCTAGGCTAGAGGAAAAAAGGAGAATGGGTGAAAAGCACTCAGGAAGATCCACATGAAGACCGCTAGATAGATACCTCGAGGCATTAGGCAACAAGGCTCGGTACGCACCTCAGTACGTACCACACCTCTTTGGCATAAGAAGGCCTTGAAACCCAGCCTTTGGTTGAAGGTTCAAAGGGTCAACAAGGCCTTCGAGACCAAAGTAGTTTATTAGCTGAATTGAACTACTGTTCCAAGCCCAGAACACTGCCCTTGTCACAATCGTTGCCAGAGCATGGAAGGTGTGTTCAGCATCCGAAATCAGAATTGACTGCATCCCAACGAGGAAAGGGCGGTTGGTACTGCAGGACTGAAAGTGGCTACCATAGAACCCATCATGATCATGGGGAATGAACGACTGGCGACGGAACAGGACTTCAAATAAAGCACAATATTGGGGACGAAAGCCAGTCTTACAGGCGTGTCAGATATCCAATACCAACCGTTGGTCTCATCCCCCAGCTCATTCCTCACTCTCATAAAACTCCCCGTGCCCCCGTTGCCCCAATACCCCGTATGCCCAGGTATCGGATGTCCATAGCCTCCAGCATACGCATCAGGAACACTCCCCGCCATCATACTAACCGGTCTCGGCTTCCCTGCCGTCCCAGTTCCAAAAGTCTTTGACCTCCTCGACGACAATGGCGGTGCCTGTGCTTGCGCGGCAGCATCCCCTTGCCACTGGCTCAATCCCGCACCGTTCCGTCTCCTCATAGTATCAAAAGCCCCGTATCCCCCGGTTGCTGTGCCCCGATGTTTACTCTTCGTTCGCCTTGGCTTGCTCTTATCCCTTGGACTTCGTGCTACCGCTCCTGCATCCTTGATTGTCTCGGTGGTCCCGCCTCCGACTCTTCCTCTTGACTTATCCCTTAGCTCTCTGGCATCTCTACCACGCGCTTCACGCCCGGGCGTAGGTGGCTCTCGCCAGTCCCTGGATACGTCACGGATGCGACCCCGTTGGGGTTGGGAAGGGTCATGCTCGCTGCTGTGGTCGAACGAGATGTCTGTTGGTGTTCCGCCGCGGTCTTCTTCGGAGTAGTAAGGATGGTCGTGATCATCGTACTGTTGTGAAAGGAGGGAGTCGCGGGATGTGTCCCAAGCACTACTGCCACGGAAGCTCCGGCCAGTGGGAGATTCTCTGCCGATTTTACTGCCATTCATGGTGGGGATCAGCATGGGACCGGGCCCTGGGAATTGGTGACCCCCCGGTAGCCCGAACGCAGCGTATCCCCCCGGTCCGGGAGCTGCCATCGAGGGTCTTCTTCCTTTTCGTAACCTCGCTTGGTGTGTCTCATGAGCTGCCCGTAGACCTTCGAGCTCGGCTCGTAGATCTGCGTTCTCTAGCCTAATGTCCTCCAGCTCTGCGTTTCTCTTTCTCAAGTCCTCCAGCTCTTCCCTGAAGGCCTCGAACCCGTGTGGCCCGTTGATTATATCCCTCAACTCCTTGATCTCCTTCTTCAATCCCTCTTTCTCGTCATTGTGCTGTCTTTCCTTCTTCAACTCATTTCTCTTCCTGACATCTTCCTTCGCCTCTTGCGCCTCTTCAGCATCTTTCCTTCCCGCGTCTTTCCATCGCTGCCGTTCATGATCAGCGCATCGTTCGAAGGGAGTCCCTTGATCATCGTATAGTCGGCCTTTCGGACAGTCGGCCTCGACACACCCGTGCTTGGTGAGGCAGTAACCTGCAGTGGTTTCGGATATGGGAGTCGCTTCTTCGGAGCAGGAAGCAAACTTGCATTTGTGTACCTTGCAGAGGGGAGGCAATGGTTTCCCGGGGGTTATCGAGCTGGCGGCGTTGTCGACGGGATTATTGCAGTCTGGCTTGCTGCAGGTGTGAGTCTCACAGTGAGGAGAGCTGGCCGATGCGGTACTTCGTTGACATGATGGGACTTTGCAGGTATGTTTCGGGCAGAAAGGGCTGTTGCCGGTGTTTAGGAGAGGGTTAGGGCATCCATCTTTCCTGCAGCGATCTATCAAGTTGGTTAGTTCACGATCATGAGAGGTGGTTGTTAGCATATCTCACGCTTATGGCAGTAAGGACTTCCAGAGCTGCCTCTCTCCTCTGCACACTCTCCAGCTTTGCACTCATGCTCGGAACAGTATTGGCCCTTTCCCTTCTCCTTTGGTCGTCTGCAATCTGGGTTCGCACACCGAACGTTCTGCTTGTAGTGTGCTTCGCATAATGGGTCTTCATCCATGTCGTCGAGTCCTTCATCGGGTATATATCGAGGCTTGTCGCATGATCGGCGACTACATAGCTGATGCTCCGTGCACAGGTTGTTTTTCTTGGCGACGCCGGCACAGTGGGCGCTTCTGCAAGTGTGTTGCTTGCAGTAAAAACTGTAGTTTTGAACGTCTGGTGGTGACATGCAGTCTTGCACACTGCATTGTTTGTGTTTGTCGCATCGCCGATTATCTTGGTCACTGCCTTTACCCTCATTTTCGCACCTGTCATGGCCGCATCGATGAGTAGAACAAAACCAAGAGGCCGTTGGATCCACACTATCGGCAACATGGTCATATTCCCTCTGCCGCAGACACGGTTGCGTTGTGGATGCGCATGTTAGAAGTTTTCGGTCTGGGAAGAGTCAGTCAACATGAAGGTGGGAACGGAACGAGTGTGGTGATAGTCCTACGCTGATCACAGAACTCATCTCCTATTTCTACAGCGTTGTCGCAGAAGCTCATATCGTAGGGTGGATGTGCCCATTGGCATGTGTCTATAGATCCTCACACGTTAGTCGAGGGATTCAATTCGAGATGCTGTCCAAGACCTCACGTACGTCGTTTACAGTGCCGTGAGAGAATAATCTTATCATCAGGCCCGGTAAAGAATAGTGCTGCGCCATTGCAATGAGGCACATTGCATACTGGAGGGCCTCTACCGCGGCGTAGACTCTCAGTCGTCGACTGCCTGTTAGTTCGGGGTCGCCGATTCGTATCGAAGGAGTCCGTAGGCATGATGCAATTGTAGTGCGAGTGCTGGCGCTCAGAGATCGATGCCTTTGGGCTCGGTGTCTGACCGGGATGATGTGCCGGAGTTGGGCGTTGACTCTTTGAAGAAAGGGAGTGATGCGGGACAAGCGGAGTGGGGTTGATCCGGCCAAGCCTTGGATCCAGGGCCAGAGAGCAAGAGAGGTCGGGGGTCCAGCTTGTTATAAAATGCGTGCTGGTTGTTTGCGAAGGCTATCCTATTGGTCTGGATACCAACAGAACGTATAACAGGGCAGTGAGGGTAGGGTATGGCGTATTGTTGCCTCTATAAGGTCGCGGAGTGGCGGATTGGCGACAGGGAAGTGGACGATAACATGCAGGACATCAACCAGTGAGCCACCATGCAGTAGCGTCCATGTGTCTGCGAATGATAGGTGTCGGACAGGAACGGGCAAACCTCGATAGCGGGTCGACTTGCATTAACGGAAAAATGGTTGCCTTGTGCCATTTATGTCTGGGAAATGTGATGACATTTATGTCTTGGATGTGTGAAGAGATGCACTTGAGTCGACTTTTTTGATGCCATATTTGAGCCTCTTCTTGGCCTCAACTCTGGAACATCAAAAGGCGCTTGAAGACCACCGTTCAGAGAGGCAACCAAGAGACACTAACATGAAAAAGAGGCACACTTGCTCCTCCGGATGCGGGTTGCGACATCAAGTATTTTTTCTGTGCCGCAACCTCACATCTAGCCTGCCCATGATATCAAGCCACCCGCAGGCAGATGTGGCTTTAACACTCTTTGTCGAGTGGACATGATTGCGGACCGCCTCGAGCAAATTAGATGCCTTCCCGTCCAAAGCGGTTGAGATGCACCTTCGGGCGGGGACTCTTCTGCGGCCGGGTCGAAGGATCAAAGCCACGGTATGGGTAGACGCGCGGGTAAGGAAGTCGGAAGACATGGGACGACATGAGGTCCTAGACTTCTAGATACTCCCAAGGCCAACGCCTGAAACCGAGTAAGGTCGAAGAAAGGGAAAATAAGATGAAGGAGTCGTTGGTCGCAGGGTAAGGTGACTTCAAAGGGTCGTCAGCTTGGCGCTGTTAAGGCTACAGGGATGGCCATGTTGGTGAGCCTCTGATGGCTGTCGTCTGATGACTCGAGATATTGACATCGAAGAGTTCCAAAAACGCCCTCTGGTATGCCATGGAGTACAGAAGTTCGAGTGTGGCTGTCTCATCGGCCAGCTGAATGAAAAGGTGTATGTAGAAGGGGAGGGAAGCATGGTGTTGATGTTCTAGACTGTCATGTTGTGGAGCTGAAGCTTGGCGTTGACGACGGAAGCCTGCTGCACTGTAGCTACAGCACTCGATGAGCCTCAGGGCAGCTTTGAGGCGGAGCTCGCTTAGCTCAAAGACAAAAGGCCCAACTGCATCACACCAACAGGGAAATGCGGACAGGACTAAAAGTGTAAATGATTTTGGGACTGAATGAAGAGATATCGCAGCTTGAGCGAGCTTGAGGCCGAGTTCTGATACAAACCTTGACAGGGCGCGCACCAACCTTGTGCCCTTGAGGTTCTCTTGCTAACAAGACGGCCAAACACAGCAAGCGATCTGACGGTTTGCGCAGTCGATAACCACCAGGCAAACCCAGGCAATAGTGGCATGCTGTATTTGAAAGAGGCCGTTCAACGAATGGAAACACTCATGATAGAAGTGGCGGAATCCAAAAGGAAGTGAAGAAAGTCATCACATCAGAATCGGACTGTGCTGTCAGTACTCGATTGTCTTCCGTGTCGGCTGTGCTGGCGGGGCTGTGACACGGGCCGCTCCGGAGGTCGGTTTCTCTGAAATGAAGGTGCCGTGGTAAGAGCCATTGATTGCACAAGTGTCCGCGACTCGGTCGAATATCGGTTGACTTTTCGGAAAGGAACAAAGTCGTTAGGAGGAGCAATGACAGGTTGAGAAAGCCATTGTTCGATATATGGACTTGGGGCCATTGCTGCAATCACAAAGTTCGAATTCGCGTTGCCTGCCTGAAGCTAGCAAGGAGCTATGACCACCCGAGCTATGACCACCCGGGCTCAGCTGGTATGGACAAGACACGATAGGATAAGAGGAGTGCGCTAACAGATTTGTGCGCATCTTTTCACCTTATGCGTTAACAGCCGCATAGCTCTCTAACATCCCACCTCACAACATGGCGCCGCCGTTGAAGACGGACAAAACCTCCGGAAAATCATCACCTCCACGGACCGCGACGTCCAGTGTTCTTGAAGAACTATGTTTGCAAGGTACAATCTCCAGATGTCCGGTTCGTCCCTGGCAAATGCCGGTTTCAACAATGACAAAAGCTGTGATTGGAAATCCAATGGCAGATGTTTGGACACTCGACCCCACTTTGATCCCCTAGCAATGACATCACAGCTTCAACTCGTGCCATTCCCCTTTCGATCAACTTCGCCCCGCCTCGTCTTTCTCCCTTTCCCATGTTTCCTCTTCCTCCAGATCTCGATCATCTCGGACACTTTCCCAAACTGAATCAACAGCAAGAAAACAAGTCAAGCTACCACCGAGGTCTCCGACACATGTCCGTTCCTGGCCAAATGTTCTCTCCTAGGAATGGACAGAATGGACGAACCCCGCAATGGCTGCCCTGATCGCCCAAGATCTCCCCCGTTCCAGGCCTCGAAGCCAGGAATTTGTAGTGAATCCAAGCTGTTTGATACACGCGTCTCTTCCTATGTCTGTCTAGTTTGTGGTTTTGCGGGAAGTGGGAGGTTAGGTAAAGGGAGATGCACTGACACCATCATGCTCTGACGTCATGTCTGTAAATGTGTATACATAACACCCGAAAAGCAGCCGCTCTTTCATCTTACAGAAACAGAGACACTCTCTCTATTCCTAATTCTCCATTCCATCCATCCATCTTTCTTCCTCCTCATACCTAATTTATGCAACGGCTGGCGTTGCATTATCCTACTCTAGATCCTGCAGCAGAACCACCAACAGAACACATTCTCCAGCAGTCTAATCCCACAATGTCCAACATCATCAGCCAGGCCGCCCAGTCGGCAAAGGAGGCTCTCACCAGCGCCCCCGACAGCAAGAAGATTGAGGATCTCAAGAACGAGTTCAAGGAGACTGGCAAGGATGCCCGCCTCACCACCGACTATGGTGTCAAGCAGACCTCGGCCGACGACTGGCTTAGGATCGTCAGCGATGACAAGATTGGTCCTTCCCTCCTCGAGGACCCCTTTGCTCGTGAGAGGGTACGTCTCTACTAGTCACATTCTATCCTTCCATATGCGCCTGCTAACCTTGTGTCATTAGATCATGCGCTTCGATCACGAGAGAATCCCCGAGCGAGTAGTCCACGCCCGTGGCAGCGGTGCCTTTGGCAAGTTCAGAGTCTACGAGAGCGCCGAAGACCTCACAATGGCCAAGGTCCTTACCGATACCTCGCGCGAGACCCCCGTCTTTGTGCGCTTCTCTACCGTCCTCGGCAGCAGGGGCAGTGCCGACACTGTTCGTGATGTCCGTGGTTTCGCCACCAAGTTCTACACAGAGGAGGGTAACTGGGATCTCGTTGGCAACAACATCCCCGTCTTCTTCATCCAGGACGCCATCAAGTTCCCTGATGTCATCCACGCTGGCAAGCCCGAGCCTCACAACGAGGTCCCCCAGGCCCAGTCCGCTCACAACAACTTCTGGGATTTCCAGTTCAACCACACCGAGGCCACTCACATGTTCACCTGGGCCATGAGTGATCGCGCCATTCCCCGTTCCTACCGCATGATGCAAGGATTCGGTGTCAACACCTTTACTCTCATCAACGCCCAGGGCAAGCGTCACTTTGTCAAGTTCATCTGGACTCCCGAGCTCGGTGTCCACTCCCTCGTCTGGGATGAGGCCTTGAAGCTGGCTGGTCAGGACCCTGATTTCCATCGCAAGGATCTCTGGGAGGCCATTGAGAACGGCGCCTACCCCAAGTGGAAGTTTGGTATCCAGGCCATTGCCGAGGAGGACGAGCACAAGTTCGACTTTGATATTCTCGATGCCACCAAGATCTGGCCCGAGGACCTCGTCCCCGTCCGCTACATTGGTGAGATGGAGCTTAACCGCAACCCCGACGAGTTCTTTCCCCAGACCGAGCAGATCGCTTTCTGCACCAGCCACGTCGTTCCCGGCATTGGCTTCTCCGACGACCCTCTTCTCCAGGGCCGCAACTTCTCCTACTTCGACACCCAGCTCTCCCGTCTTGGCGTCAACTTCCAGGAGCTTCCCATCAACCGCCCTGTGTGCCCCGTCATGAACTTCAACCGTGACGGTGCCATGCGCCACACCATCTCCCGCGGCACCGTCAACTACTACCCCAACCGTTTCGACGCCTGCCCTCCCGCCTCCCACAAGGAGGGCGGTTACCTCGAGTACGCCGAGAAGGTAGCTGGCATCAAGGCCCGTGCCCGCAGCTCCAAGTTCAAGGAGCACTACAGCCAGGCCCAGCTCTTCTGGAACTCGATGTCGCAGATCGAGAAGAACCACATCATCAACGCCTTGGGCTTCGAGCTCGACCACTGTGAGGACCCTGTTGTCTATGGCCGCATGGTCCAGCGTCTCGCCGACATCGATCTCGGTCTTGCTCAGACCGTCGCCGAGATGGTTGGCGGTGAGGCTCCCACTACCACTGACCACCCCAACCACGGCAAGAAGACCATCAAGCTCAGCCAGACCGAGTTTCCTCCTGCGGCCCCTACCATCAAGTCTCGCCGTGTTGCCATCATCATCGCCGATGGCTACGACAACGTCGCCTACGACGCTGCCTATGCCGCCATCTCCGCCAACTTGGCCATCCCCCTCGTTATCGGCACTCGCCGCTCCAAGGTCACTGCCGCCAACGGCTCTACCGTCCAGCCCCACCACCACCTCGAGGGCTTCCGCTCGACCATGGTCGACGCAATCTTCATTCCCGGCGGCGCCAAGGCCGTCGAGGCGCTCTCCAAGAACGGTCGTGCTCTGCACTGGATCCGTGAGGCTTTCGGTCACCTGAAGGCCATCGGCGCTACTGGCGAGGCGGTTGACCTCGTGGCCAAGGCGATTGCCCTGCCTCAAGTCACCGTCAGCAACGAGACCGAGGTTAACGAGAGCTACGGTGTTGTCACCCTCAAGCAGGTCAAGCCTGAGAGCTTCACGGATACGGTCAAGATTGCCAAGGGTGCTGCTGGCTTCTTGGGCGAGTTCTTCTTTGCCATTGCCCAGCACAGGAACTGGGATAGAGAGTTGGATGGTCTTAACACCATGATTGCGTACTAAATTATGGGGGAAGTGGTGGAAGTGGTGGAAGTTTATGGTGTTTTCTTCTCACGATAGTTATGATACCTAATGTTTATGATTCATGTTCTTTTTTAAGAGGTTGTCGCTTGAGATGCTTTAAGTGATGTGTGATTAGCGTGAATCGGTGAGCTATTGGAGTGTTGCTGTTAGTTGCATTATCCGGCTACGACAACCACTCCGAAACGGACATGCTGTCAGGACCTGTCGCTGGTCATGCGGACTGGAGGAAGAAAGGGAGCAAGGAAGCAACGCCTGCTGTAATTTCCCACCTCGAATCGTGTTGGCAAGGAGCGTTTCTTGGGAAAGAAAAATCAGGAAGTCATCTGCGTTGCCTGCTGCTCCGCAAGATTTATTTAATTCTCCAAATTGCCGTCTTCGTCTTCACGTTTTGTCGGAGCGGGTTGGATTTCGCACCCCTTTTCTTCCTTCGACGCAGACCCAAGTCGACATCTTTCAAAGCGATTGTACCACGTTTGTTGGTAACTCTCCCTTACCCTAACGATCCAAACCTTTGGCTTACACATGTTTGACCTCGAGTTCAACAAGCTTGCAATCACGCTCTCATTTCGGCGACCGAGCCGTGGTGGTGTCAATTCCCGGTCTACGGGGTCTCGGGCACGACCTCACCCGTAACGGGACTGTTGGACACTAAGATGATTCAGCGACATCTCATCTATCCATGGTTACCAGCTAGATGGATTGAGAACCGCCCTTCATCTTCTTCCTTCGCTCATAAGTACTTGTGGTTCGTCAATTTGCTTTTCTTCTACGTCCCTTCTCCCCCATTATCTCATGCCATGAGCATACATACCGGTACGCTGCAGTTGCTGCAGTTGCAAGCTTATGTTAGTGCACTATCAGCTGTCCACCAGATTGAATGGAGGAAAGATAGTGACATATCTCATTCCTGGCCCGTGCCTTCTGCCGCCTCTGCTCAACATACTCTCTACATTTTCCTCATTGATGCATTTCCTCATCCGTGGCTCGAGATGTTCATATAACATTTTGTCAGTTAGCTAACCTCTCATTTTGGTCACAATGGATGTAGTTCGTCCTCGACTGGATTGTCACCCTAGGGTCGGCATACCCTACGATCCGACATCCGCTGCGGGGTAAGACGCGCTCCCGCTGTTTGCCAGATGCTGGCGCCGATTGTCGCCAACACAAACCGACGTCCAGTCTTTCCAAACACACCTCACAGAAACACATCATCGCGTCTCCAAGTACAAAGGGTTGGACGTCAGTAACGCCGCAAGCCTGTCATGATACCACAGACAATGCGCCTGTCGACCAGCCGGGGACTCGGTACACGCGCTGCACTAGACCTAGTACTGACAAGCCGTCCACCACATCACCGGTTCATGTCGCTTTCCTCCCGCCATCACGCCAAGCGCAACAACACCTCCGCCGCCGGTCAAGATGGACCAAAACAATCACCACAAGTAATCATCCCACCACACATAAAACTAGCGGCCCCCCGAAAACACCAAAAGTCGAAACCAACCGTTAGCAATCACATCCCACCCCCGGACGCCGTCCCAGGATCCGCATCTTCACATTCGCCTCTTTCCAACTCGGACATCTCCTTTCTCTCTACCTACTTGAAGTCTCACAACCACCAGCAGCTAGCGAAAAACATCCACGAGACATGCTCCCAGTTCGGCGCCGCTCACCGCTGGGGTTCCGGCGAAAATGACACGGGCATGAACCGCTTGGCGCTGACGGACGCGGATAAAGCTGCCAGGGACTGGTTCGTGGAAGAAGCGAAAGGGTTGGGGTGTGAAGTCACGGTGGATGAGATGGGGAATATTTGGGCCGTGAGGAAAGGTCTTTCCGACTGCAAGCCTATTGAAGACGGCGGAAAGAGAAAGAGACTGCCGCCCGTGATGATGGGTAGTCATCTTGATACCCAGCCGCGGGGAGGGCGGTATGATGGCGTGCTGGGTGTGATGGCGGGACTGGAGGCCTTGAGGGTGTTGAAGGAGAAGAATGTGAGCACGTGGAGACCCGTGGGCGTAGTGAACTGGACGAACGAGGAGGGCGCGCGGTTTCCCATCAGTATGGTGAGCAGCGGGGTGTGGGCGGGGGAGATACCGTTGGAGAAAGCGCATACGTTGAAGGAGGTTGCTGGAGAAGGAAAGACGATGAGAGAGGAGTTGGAAAGGACTGGGTATCTGGGAGACAAAAAGTGTGGCTATGAGGAGATGCCCATGGCGGCGCACTTTGAGCTGCATATTGAGCAGGGACCGATATTGGAGGAGAAAGGGAAGAAGGTCGGTGTCGTGAAGGGGAGTCAGGCGTATAAGTGGTTTACGGTAGAGGTTGTCGGCAAGGGTAAGTCGATGGATGGTTTTGTTCGTTGATGTATGAAGGTAACTGACTCGCACCATAACAGAGGCTCACACAGGAACCACCCCTTATCCTCAGCGCGCCGACGCTTTCATGGCGGCCAACTCCATGATCCATTACGCCCGCTCCAGGGGCGAACAGGAGGACATCCTCGTCTCGGTCGGTGTCTTCCAAGTTTTCCCGGGCAGCGTCAATACCATTCCGGGCCGGGTCAAGTTCTCCCTCGACATCCGCTCGTCGTCGACCGACAAACTTGCCCAGTTTGCGGAGCACTTTCGCCGCAAGTTCGGCAGCATCGCCCAGAACTTGGGCGCCAACAGCCAGCCCTGTGCCGTCACCTGGCAGGAGGATACCGATTCGCCCGCCCAGATGTTCGATGACGGGTGTTGCAAGGCGGTCAGGGAGTCAGCTCTTTCCGTTCTCGCGGCAGACGCCGGTGGGGATATGGTCAAGGCCATGGAACTGGTCAAGTACAATATGGTCAGTGGTGCCGGTCATGATTCGGTCCACACGGCCAAGAGGTGTCCGACGAGCATGATCTTTGTACCGAGTAAGGGCGGACTGAGCCATCACCCGGAAGAGTTTACGAGCGAGGAGGATTGTGTGAGGGGCGCACAGGTGTTGTTGGAGAGTGTGTTGAGGTTCGATAGGGAGATTTGGAGGGAGGATTATAATCGGGAGAAGGCGAGTGAGTCTTTGGTGAGACCTCGGAAAGTTTATTCAAAGGGGCAGTCTTCCGGGGCTGAAGCGAAGAAGGTTCAAGTCTGAGGATTGATCCATCATCAAGACTGGCTTGAGGTTATGAACAAGACACCGAGACGACCATTGCGATATCTTGTCCAAGAACACCAGTACACTACCATATTGAAGCTCACTGCGTAAGACTTTTAGGGGTGGACTTGACAAGAACACCCGATCCATCTGTTATCTTCCCATACAGAACCAACTGCTGTTTTAGCGGACTTTAGCCGTCACTCCCCTGCCGGCCGGCCGCCCTGTTCCAGTGCCGGAACCAAACACCTCAATGACACTCGTGGATAAAGTGCACACCACAACCCCCATTTAGGCAGTGCCACAACACCAATCAGCTCCCACGTTCTATAGTATCTCTGATCCATTATAGCCTCAAGAAGCTTATGATGTTGCAGACTGAGTGGCTGTGACGTGATGAAGAGTCTTGGACACGTTTCCTTCTGGCGGCATGTCAGCATGTGAAAAGACTCAAAAACATCATCAACCCAACTGGCGTTCCGCTGTTGACTTTGCCCTGAGCTATCCCGACCACAGAGTCTGATCTCTCCTTACAGGCTTTCCTCGCCTCTCCTGTTTCTACCAGTGCCGTGCACCAGACAATCACGATGATCTGGCTCACCCGCGCCCTGCTCTTTGGGTTATCCGCCCAACTCACTCTCGCCAAAACCCCCAGCAAAGACGAAGCCCCGGTCGCTGGCTCCAAAGACAACCTCGCCTACGAACCCATCTCCCAATCAACCATCTACACCTCTAACGCCACTTCCCCAGACAGTGGTAACGTTCCCCCAACCACGGGGTGGTGGTCCTCCCAAATCTGCGCCCAAAAAACCTACTGCATCTACACCAACCTCGCCCTAGGCCGTGGTCACGGCATAGTGCTCCTCACCAAATTCGCCGAATTCCAGAAAATTGAGCGGCTAGATCAACACCTCGACAAAGCCGAGGACCGTATCGAAGCCACAACCGAAAACGGTGGACCGCCGTTCGAGGAGAGTTATATCCTCGATAAAGGCCCTGGTCTTACGGCCACGACGCAGCTAAGGAGGGGTAAGCCGCTGATGCAAGCGGCGCCGGTGTTGATGGTTCATAAGGATTTTTTTGCGGATGTGTGGCGGAGGAAAGAGAGAGAGAAGATGTTGGAAGTTGCGGTTGGGTTCTTGCCGGAAAAGACGAGGGGGGAGGTTGAGAGGCAGCGGAGTCTTGGGCTCGGTCCGGGTGGCAAGAAGGGAGAGGAAGGGAAGGATGGGAAGGATGCCTCTGGGAAGGATCGGAAGGCTGGAAATGAAGCAAAGGAGACAGGGACAGGGACAAAAAGGTCGATCGAGCAGATCCTGCTAGCATCTCCCTTCGAAATCGACCTGGGCAGCAACTCCTACCAACCAGTCGGCCAAGGCCAAGGCCAAGGTCAAGCAAACTCACAAGCCGATCACTCAAAGCACTACGTCAACTACCCTTCCATGGCCCTTTTCACGCACTCGTGTCGACCGAATGTCGCGTTCCACATTGATGGGAACATGGCTTTGCGGACGACTGTTGCCCGCAAGGTTAGTCCCGGCGAGGAGTTAACCATCGCTTATATCGACCCGATTAAACCGCGCAAGGAACGACAGGAGTGGGTTGGGAAATACCGCCCC